AACCCTTGGATCCTAATTATCACCTCTTCCAAGGTGACATAAGTCCCTAATGAATAGACAAAAAGTTCTTTGGGGCCCTAGAGAAATTTTTGAAATATCAAATCTAGTTAATTATATATTAATTCATGAATTCTTTCATCAAATAAGCATTTATTCATGTGCAGTTCTTCACAGGCATTCTGAAAGGTCCAAAAGAAAATTCCTGCCCTCAAGCAACACCTCATCCATTATTTCTCAGTCATACCATGCCATCTATTTATCAATCAGAGGTTAAGTCATTAACCACCTCATATTTTTACCAACGTAAACCTCCAGTTCTGCTCACCTGGCAAACTGGAAAGTGTTTAAAAGGATGCTCAGTCATTGGTCTATACCAGCATGAAAGAACTCCAAGCACGTTTAAGAAGGTTGGTCTTTTCATCATGCATCTTTTTTTTTTAATGCAAAATCAGACCTAAGTTTGGGAAGGAGAATAGTGTAGAATATTCTTAGTAAGGCAAATCACAACTAAAAGTAAGCTCTATTGCCCTAAGTGGATCAATGAGGAAGTCTTTTTAAAGAAATACTTATCCATCAACAGAAGAGATCAGTGTATATTTTATCTACCCCCCCTTTGTAGATTCTGCTGATCCAATCATTTCCACACTTACAGCTTTTATTTTATTTATTTATTTTTTCACTTACAGCTTTTAAACATCTCATTTGCTCAAACTCCTTACATGTGGTAGATAGACTGTTGCTTCATCTGAGAAATCAAAATAATGAAGATATTTAAAACTTAGCAAAATTTCACTTACTCTAGAACACTTGGGCATTCAAACTCAGTAAAAAGGGCACCTTACAAAAATAAGGGAGGTTGCATGAGTTTTTCCATTTTTTCCTTCAGTATCAGTCCCTTTCTATCCAGCCTGCCTCCCATCTATCACTAGAGGCAGCCTTTCGGCCACAGCCTTTGTCATGCCCAGAAAGGCGCTGAAACGTTTGTGACTGGAATGGCATGGGGAACACAATCTCCTGGGCTCCTTCTCCACGGTTTTCAGTGTCCTGTAGTTGTGCACAGAATTTAGGTCATGCCTTTAATGGTCTTTACTTTAAACCGCCCCCTTTGACAATCAGGTGCTAATGATTCTGTTGGAACCAGCCTGTATTGTGTGAGTGTCTGTTCTGCCTAGGCGGGAAGTGCTTTCCTTCTATCAGTCCTGTTCAGGTGGGTGTCAGTTACATTTTGTCACCTCTTGTTTTGTGAATTAATAGAATTTGGAGGAAAAGAAATGATTTAAGCTACAAGTTTGGGGTTTGGCACAGTCATCAGTCTTGATGACACTCTTCATACTTTAAACCAAATCTTCTCTATCATAAGAACCAATTTCCAACTGTTTTTCTCTAGTTTGGACTCCAGTGTTATGTTTTACAGTCTGGGTAACACTGTAACACTGATGGGTTCAGTGTGATAAGACCTGGGTACCCAAAGAATCTGTTTCTTTTGTGGTACCAGACCCAAGGTCTTTTAGAAACTAATGTGGCAAAACACCACCTATAAAGGCCTGTTTTGGCTGATCTGTGCAAACTCTGATTATACCCTCTTGTATGTATTCTGTCCCACACAACTCTCATTTTTTTAAGTATTAAGACCTAGAAAGCTAGGATAACACTTCTACAAGGAGTTAAAAGTATGTGATATTCTGTTTTTTTCCTTCCTTTTGGAATCCTGTATTTAAACAAGACTTCTTTTTAAGTATTGTTTAAAATTTAGGTCTCAAGTCTTCTGGCATTACCAGACTACCAAATCAAAACCCATGGTATAAAACAGGGCAATATTTGTGTTCTTAATAATGAGAAAGCTTTATGTGTACTCTGTAAGTATAATGCATAGACAACACTTTCCCTTGAGTTGCACATCAACATAGAGCATTGTACATTACAATGAAGTTTGTAACTTAAGGGTATTATATATATAAATACATATATACCTTTGTAACCTTTATACTGTAAATAAAAGAATTGCTTTTAGACTTGTTTTTTCACTTTTTAATATTAAAATAGTTTCAAACTTAGAGGAAAGTTTTAAGAAAGTACAAAGGGGCTTCCCTGGTGGCTCAGTGATAAAGAATCCACCCGCCAATGCAGGAGACACAGGTTCAATCCCTGATCCAGGAAGGTCCCACATGCCAGTGCACCACAACTACTGACCATGTGCTCTTGAGCCCATGAGCCGGAATTGCTGAGCCCATGCACCACAACAACTGAAGCCCGTGTGCCTAGAGCCTTGTTCTGCAACAAGAGAAGCCACTGCAATGAGAAGCCTGCACACCACAACATGAGAAAGCCCAAGTGTAGCAATGAAGTCCCAGCGCAGCCAAAAATAAGTAAATCTTAAAAAAAAATACAAAGAACTCCTGCATCCTCATCACCCAAATTTCCCGATTGTTAACATTTTGCCGCATTTGTTCCATTACCCTGTCATCTTTCTCTGACATGATGCTCATCACCCTTAAATTCTCTAGAGTGTACTTTGCAGGCACAAGGATTCTCTCCTGTACAGCCACCCTACAGCCCTCCCAATCAGAAAGTCGACTTTGGTTCAGCACTACCACCCATCCAAAGACCCCACTTAATGGTGCCAGTCTTCCCAACAATGAATGTCTCCGTTTCCTTCCTGGCACAGGATCCTATCCAGTATCACATGTGTTTGGTTGTCACATCTTAGCTTCTTCTGATGCCATTTTTAAACAGATTTAGGGCAACTCAAAACTCTTAAAAACTTAGTTTTTGTTCTAGTTCTACCACTGACCATCTGTGTGATGGGAGCTTAATCACTGGATCAATCTGAGCTTTATCATACATTCAGTCGCACAGAGGAAAGTGAGGTGAGAGTTTCTCAGGAATCTTGCTAGGAGATCAGTGCTCCATTTATTTTGGTATCATTCACTTTGTGTGATATCTCAGCATAATTTTGCCCTGGCCCTACCTCTCCAAAATGTTACAATCCTAAACCTTGTTTTTATTCCTCCTCCCCCACACTGTTCTTGCTCTCAACCAAGAAGCTCCTTAAATTGCTCAGGACCCATTTTTGGCATGAGCCAGTCTGATTTTATGAAGTTGTATGGGCTAAGCAGAGTTGACTTACTGGTCCAAGCTTGGGTTTACAACAAGTGACACATTCTCAGCGTCATCAGAACCCAATATAGTAAAGTACTGTGTGAGAAACAACAAATTAGGCAACCACTGTAGAGGACAGTGTGGAGGTTCCTTAAAAATTATAGATTAAAAAAAATTATAGATTTACCATATGATCCAGCAATCCCACTCCTGGGCATATATCCAGAAAAGATGAAAACTCTAATTTGAAAACTCTAATTTGGAAATATTGCACCCCAATATTCATAGCAGCACTATTCACAATAACCAAGTCATGGAATCAACCTAAATGGCTGGTGACAGAGGAATGGATAAAGAAGATGTGGTACATATATACAACAGAATACTACTCAGCCATAAAAAAGAATGACATAATGCCATTTGCAGTAAAATGGATGAACCTGATGGGCCTAGAGATGATCATGTACCTTCCAGATGACTCAGTGGTAAAGAATCCACCTGCAATGCTGAAAACGAGGGTTTGATCTCTGGGTCAGGAAGATCCCCTAAAGGAGGAAATAGCAACCCCCTCCAGTATTCTTGCCAGGAAAATCCAACGGACAGAGAAGCCTGGAGGGCCACAGTCCATGGGGCCACAAAAGAGTCAAACACAATTTATAGACTATACAGCAACAACAACGGAGATGATCATACAAAGTGAAATCAGAAAGAGAAAGATACACTACTTATATGTGGAATCTTAATAAATGGTACAAGTGAATGTATTTACAAGACAGAAATAGTCATAGAAAACAGTTACTAAAGCAGGAAAGGGGAATGATAAATTAGGAGTTTGGGATTAACAGATACACAAATTGTCACCTCTATACATTTATAGAGTTGCCACCCTTAACCAGCTTTGTTCACTTGAAATGATTTCAAACCATCCTTACTCTCCTCAAACCCCAAGCCTTCCACCTTCTCTCCCTCTAACAGCAGATTCTCTTCTCTTCTAATTCACCAAGAAAACAGAAGCCATCCAAAGGTACTCCCCTAACTTGTTGTTACCTTCTGCCCAGCCTAGGTAGGCATCTGTCTTCTCCGCTCCCACTTTACTGTCTGCAGCCAATCCACCCACCTAGGCTTTGGTCCCATTCCCATCGGCCAGCTTTCTTTAGTGGATTCTTCCTATTGGTTTTTAAACACGCAGCGCTTCTGTTAATAACCAATCTGCTATGCTTAAGATCTCCTGGGTAGAGCCCCCAGTTTTGGAGACCTAAGAAAATAACTTTCCTGGGGAGGAAAAGGAATATAAAGGAAAACAGAACTGGCTTTAGACAGAGCCACTGACATCTTAATAACAGTAACCAGGGTCTAAGACCCAGTGTTGGGGTACACTGTTTACGTTAGCTCGCTCATTCATTACCTCCAAAAGGCAGACAAGGCAGATACTAATTATTAGTAGTAGTATAACTTATTAAACATCAGGAACCCAAAGCTCTGAGAAGGCAGGCTTATTGTGAGAGAAAAACCTGCCCAATACATGTTTTATTCCAAGTGGGATTCTGGACTTGATGATTTCATTCCGGTCCTATTCTGGCCCCGCCCCCTCGGGGGCCCCCAGTCCCGCCCCGCCCCCGACACGCCCCTTGGCTCACGCCCTGGTCCCACAGCCTCGGCTGAGAGCGGCGGCCTGCAGTGCCGGCCGTGGCCGCCGGGGGCAGCCGCGCGGCTCTGGCCCGGCCGCTCTGGGCCGCCGTCCTCGCTCGCCCTCGGACTCCGCTCCGGCTGCGAGCGGCCGCCCTGCCCGCGACAGGCGCCGATCCATCGGGCTCTCCGCGCCGGACCAGCTCCTCGGCTCCCGGGGCAGGACCGAGGCCGCAAGCAGCGCCGCGGGGTGTGGGGCAGACCCAGGAGATGAAATGACAACGCCAACCCTCCAGGTACCTCGGCGCGGCCCAGCCCGGCTTACGGAGGCCGAAGGAGCGCGGCGGGGCCTGCGGGCGAGCTGGCGGCCTCCTCCTAGCCACGGCCTCGCGCCCCCGCCCTGTCGTTCTGTGCCCGTTTCTCTTTTCTCGCGCTCTGAACCGTGGGTCGCTTCGCGTTTAGAATGCCCGGCCCGCTAGACCGGGCCAAGCCCCGAGGTCGCTGTGTGTAGCTGGCGACCCGGAGCTGCCTTGGGGATCAGCCTCACCCGGGCCTCACAAGCGACGCCCGGGAAGCTCGGATCCGCGGTCAGGCTGCTGGATCTCCCTCCTTCTCCTCCTGCCTCCCTTCGAACAGACCCCCGTTCCTTCCCCGGTCTCCAATTTCCTCTTCTTCGCCTAAGACCCTTCATTCATTCCTTGGATCGCGTCGGGTGGTGCTGGGGTGGCGCCACCTGGATGCATGACTGACCCGTCCTCCAGGTGCTGCTGGCCCTAGGTCGACCGGAAAACAGGAACGCGCTCTCCTTGTCTCAGACCTGAGTTTGAATCTTGGTTCTGCCACTCACTAGCATGTGACCTTGGGCTCGTTAGCTGATCCTGGAGCCTCGGGTTCCCTGTCAGTGAAATGGGGTAATGCCCTGTAGCGTTGTCGTAGTAGTGGCTCTAGATCGAGTGATTCAGGTGAAGTGTTCTTAACACAGTGTCAGCTACATATTAAGTGCTCATTAAGTGGTGACAGGTGCAGTGCTTGGGGGAATTGGGCATGAGGTCGAGGAAGAAGAGGCATTTGGGTCGGTAATCAAAGAATGGGGGGATGGCAGATACCAGCAGCAGAGGGAGGGATAGTTACTCCAGGTGGAGAGGAAGAGGGAAACAGAGGCATGGAATACAGTGGGTTCTAGGCCAGGAATTTGCTGGTGTCCAGAGTCAAACCTTAACAGCCACCAGTGGAAGCTGTTATCACAGGGGTGGACCAACATGGCTTGCAGAACTCACCTTCCCAGGGCTTGTGAGCTAAGAATGCCTTTTCCTTTTTTTTTTTTTTAAAGAAACGTTTATTAAGATATAACTCACATGCCATACAATTCATAGTGTTCACTGCTTTTAATATATTCAGAGGCTTCCCTGATAGCTCAGCTGGTAAAGAATCCCCCTGCAATGCAGGAGACCCCAGTTCAATTCCTGGGTCGGGAAGATCCGCTGGAGAAGGGAAAGGCTACCCACTCCAGTATTCTTGGGCTTCCCTTGTGGCTCAGCTAGTAAAGAATCCGCCTGCAATGTGGGAGACCTGGGTTTGATCCCTGGGTTGGGAAGATCCCCTGGAGAAGGAAAAGGCTACCCACTCCAGTATTCTGGCCTGGAGAATTCCATGGACCATATAGTCCATGGAGTCACAAAGTTGGACACGACTGAGCAACTTTCACAGTATATTCAGAGTTGTACAGTCATCGTCACAATCACTTTTAGAACACTTTCATCACTCCAGAAGGAAATGCTGCCTCCTGAAGTCAGGAGCACACGGCTGCTCTGGAAATGCCCAGCCGTCCCCGTGCAAGTGATGCTTGTGTTACTTGTGAAGAGCCCCTACCCCAAGGTCTTCCGCATTCCAGTAATCATGTAGGATAAATTACGTTCAGTGATAACATAACTTAGTTATCAGAAATCAGCTCAGTGATCTTCTTTGCCATGACTGATACTTGATGGGTTTTTAAAACCAAACTGATGTTGAAAATTTCTTATGGCATAGATAAAAAAACATCCAGTTTGTGGCTTAACTCCATGTAGATTTTATGTGTGTGCGGACACTAGTGGAAGACGTTTGGATAGGCCATGCCGACTGTGCTTATGCTGTTAGAAGCATTTTATATTTCTTTTTTGGATGGAATGGGTTTATGTGAGCAATTTGAACAAGTGGCAATAATCACAGACTGAAATAAAATAAAATTTTAGATAAAAAAAAAAGAAATGCTGCCTCCTTTAGCAGTCAAAATTCTCCACCCCCCAAATGTCTATTTCTCCCAACCCTAGGCAACCACTAATCCATTCTCTGTCCCTAAGCCTTTGTCTGATCTGAGCATTTCATATAAATGGAATTATATATCAATAATATGTGATCCTGTGTGATGGGTTCTTTCATTAAAAAAAAAAATTTATTTCATTTTTTGGCTATCCTGGGTCTTGATTGCTGTGTGGGTTTTTCTCTAGCTGCAGAGAGCAGGTGCTACTCTGGTCTCAGGGCCCAGGCTTCTCATTGTGGCGGCTTCTGCTGTCGCAGAGCACAGGCTCTAGGCTGAGAGGGCTGCAGTGGTTGTGGCTCCCAGGCTCTAGGGCACTGGCTCAGTAGTTGTGGTGCCCATCGCATTCGAGATCTTCCTGGATCAGGGGTCAAACCCCATGTCTCCTGCATTGGCAGGTGGCTTCCTTAACCACTGAGCCACCATGGAAGCCCCGGTTTTTACATTTTTAAGTGCATGGAAAAAGGGATATTTCATGATATGTGACAGTCATGAAATTGAAATTCCAGTGTCTGTAAAGTTTTATTGGAACCCATCCCTGCTCATTTCATTTACGTATTATCTCTGGTTGCCTTGGGGTTACAAAGGCAGGGTTGAGTAGTTGCAACGAGATTATACTGCAGGAGAATCTAAAATATTTACATTCTGGTCCTTTATGGAAAACTTGCCACCCGTTAGCATGTCTTTGTTACCCTTTTCTTTCATCCTTATCCTCTGCCACACCTGTTACTAGAGATTACACAGAGCTGACAGTTTTGTCACCTTTGCCTCCTGTTAAGCAAAACTGTTTGACTCTAAATTGCAGCTCAGGCCTCTTGTATGTGAAAAACTATGTATGGTTGCCAGAAGCAGTGACTGTGCTCTGAGGTGCACTGAGGATCTAGAAGGAGGGAGGGGGTGGGCCTGCTTTGCCACCTGAGAAGCAGAGCATTCCTAGAGTATCGCTCTGAACCCCCCCCCCCCGCCTTTCAAAAAAGACCCAAGCAAAGTGTGTAGAGTGGAAAAGTGTGTAGAGTGGTGTGTTCTGGAGATGCAAAGCCCCTGGTGACAGGAGCTCCCCGTTTCATGTCTGTCTGAAGGGCAGCCTCGTGGAGGACAGTAAACACATGAAGTCTGTGTCTAAGCTGATCATCCAGGAAGGTTCAGGGCTCCCAGCCATTATCTGTTTGTAAGGAGTGTAGGGCACTGAGGCTAGAAAACAGTAGCCTTTCCTCATCTCTTCAAGCTGGTGAGCTTGTATAACATCAACCTGGCCTGACCTGTCCCAGTCTGTTAGTTCTGTAGAGCTCTCTGTGTTTTTCTGAGACTTCTTACTTTCAGATGAGAAAGGGCTGCACAGAGGCCCTGGGCCCTGCCAAGAGCTAGTCAGGAGGCTTATTGTTCACTGTGTGGCCAGTGGTTTCTGCCGGCCTGCTGTCTAGTGCTATCTGTTTGAGGAGGATAATTCTGGTAGTGCTTCCCAGCTTGGTGAAGCCATGGTTTCTAAAACTGGATGTGTAGGTGTAGGGCAGCTGCCTGAGATCCAGCAGGCTTTCAGTTCAGTCCAGAGCATAGGCCTACAGGATTTAGGAGGTTCACAAAGACACTCTTGCAGAGTTCTTAGTAGGGTCTGGAAGCTCCCCACCACTGGCAGCACATAGATGCCTTTGAAGTAAGCAGGCACTTTTCTTCCTGGACCTCCAGGAAGAGGTCCTCAATCCGTGTATTGAGTCACATGGCTAAGCATCCCTTCCCTAGGAATCAACTTTAGGAAAACTGTCTTCTCTTTTCAGCCTAGAGAAGTGAGTTGAGCTAATACAAAAAAGTAGAGATCCCTTTAAGTCCATATCATAAAACTCCCGGGTTGGTGAAGGACTTTCCTGGCTGGCTGGGTCCTTTCTGGCCCCCAGGGTCAGGGGCAGTTTCTGGCCTCCATCTGAACAGCGCAGCAATCAGTTGGTTTTGCTGTTTGCCCTGTTGCAGGCTCTCAGTCCAGCTCTATGTGTCTTTCCCCTGAAATTGCGAAATAGAAAGTGAACTCTCCTTTTGAGCCCTAACCTGAGATTCTTGATCAGGCTTCCGCTTGACTGAGAAGGCAGTTGCTTTTAACTGTATGAGTATATTGTGAAGCGGGACAGCTGTCTTTTAAAGCTTCCTTTCAAGGCCTTTCTAGTTGTTGGACAAGTAGGCCAACATAAAGGTCTGCAGCTGATGGATTCCCGGGCCTGGCAATATCTCTTATCAGTGTACTCCTGCTGCCCGGAACCCAGGGGCTTTCTGGATCTCGTGGGAAGCACTGGGTTGTGTGTTTTGCCTTCCCAGAAAGCCATTGATCTGGTGACAAAAGCCACAGAAGAGGATAAAGCCAAGAATTACGAGGAGGCGCTCCGGCTCTACCAGCATGCCGTGGAGTACTTCTTGCACGCTATCAAATGTGAGTCCCCGCAGGGCCCTGCCTAGCCTCAGAGCCCCCGCGAGAGGAGGCGGGCACACGCGCTCACAGGGGCCCCTCCGCGGTTGCCCTTCTGCAGATGAGGCACACAGCGACAAGGCCAAGGAGAGCATTCGAGCCAAGTGCATGCAGTACCTGGACCGGGCGGAGAAACTGAAGGATTACTTACGAAACAAAGAGAAGCATGGCAAGAAGCCAGTCAGAGAGAACCAAGGCGAGAGTAAGGGGTGAGTACGGAGCAGTGGCGGCCCCGGCGGGGGCCAGCACCCCCTCGAGCAGGGTCCGTTTCCGGTGTCGCCGTCATCTTGGTGCTGTCCTTTGGGGAATTCTACTTGTAATAGAGATGATGCCTGCAGCTGCCTTCACCGAGCCCTTTACAGGAAACATACATCCGTTGTCTCACTAGATCCGGATGGAAAAGCTGTGGGCAGGGCGGGGAGTCAGCCCTGGACTCCGCAGCCAGACTGTCAGGATCTAGCCTGGCGCTGCCAGTCGTGTGACCCTGGACAAGCGCCATGACCCTGCTGGGCCTGCAGGTTCCTCATCTGTAGGAGGAAGGTAGTGGGACTTCCCTCCCAGTGTTGCCCTAAGGAGCAAATGAGATGATGCAGGAAAAGCCCGGAGAAGAGAGGTTGGAGCGCAGTAAGGATCAAATAAGTGCCCGCTGTGTTATCAGAGGGTCTCATCGTCACGTGATGGACAGCAGCAGGCTCAGAGAGGTTCAGGGATGGCCACGGTCACAGAGCTGTTACTTGATGGGGTCTGCACCCAGACCTGGGGGCTCTGTTTTGGGCTCTAAAGCCAGCGTTCCCTCCACAGCCTTTCACCTCACACCTGTGGTTTGAGTAGAAAGGCCAGTGATGTCCTGGAGGTGAAGGGAGGGTGTGCAGCCCAGAGGTGGTGGAGTAGGAGACAGAAAGGGGATGTGTCAGCTCTGCCCTGAGCGGGGAAGCTCTGCTCCTGGGTTGAAAGGACCCACCCAGGGGCCTGGAAGAGTTCTAAGGATGACACATGACGTGTCCGGGTCGGGCTTGGCCCTGGAGGCACAGCCACGTACTGTCCTGCTGCGAGTCCCTGTGAAAGGCCTGGAGCAGCTCCCAGTGTTTGCCGGCTGCTCTTGAGGTCCAGCCAGTGCACAGGGCCCTCACTGGCCTTCATGAGAGCGCACACATCTCAGTTCTCTGCCCTTCGTGAGGAAGTGAGGGTGCCTGAGGAGAGTGTTTCCTGGAGGGTCCAGAGAGGATTGCTGACGTGCAGCCCCGACATCCTTGGGGTGCCTTGCTGTGGACCTCTCAACCACTGTCGAGCAGGGAAAGTGTCTGCTCAGCACCGGGCTGGCCGTCAGAGTTTGGCCTCGCTCTCTGAGCCGCCTTGCTCGCTGCCTCTCACTCCAGCCTGTTGTCTTTTGTCTCCTTTCCCAGCAGCGATAGTGACAGTGAAGGAGATAATCCAGAGAAAAAGAAATTGCAAGAGCAGCTGATGGGTAAGCAGCTTGAGGCCATGGTGGTGGGAGGTGGGTGTGGCAGGGACCCCCCAGATAGGTCAGGCTCCAGGTCGAAGGCTCCGTCTTGGTCCTGCAGGTGCCGTCGTGATGGAGAGGCCCAACATCCGGTGGAATGACGTGGCCGGGCTGGAGGGAGCCAAGGAGGCCCTCAAAGAAGCTGTCATTTTGCCAATTAAATTCCCGCACTTGTTCACAGGTAAGAGTTAAGCCACGTTAGGCCCCAGTGCACAAAAGTCAGGCTTCTGAGAGCGCCAGCTCAGGGCCCCCCTCATGTAGGCATCCAAGGGGTAGGTGGCAGCTCGGCTCCCTTCACCCCTAGCAGGCGAGGCCCTGGCCCTCCTGAGTGCTCTCCGTCAAGGGAGGGTCCAGGGCCAGCTCACTGAGGTCACCTACTCCTTGGCTTGTCTCCATGTCAGAGACACTTTCGTGACTAGAACTTCGAGTCGTTCCAGTGGTAGGCAGGGCGTCCTGCGCCAGCCAGCATCACTTTGCCGGTCTTGGGGGTCAGGAGCCCGGGCCAGGACCAAGCTCTTGGCAGGTGATCTAGTTGCCTTGACCCCTCTGCTCCTACAGCAAAGTCGTCTTGTAGAGCTTTTTATTCCTGGCCGTATTTACCGTGACTCCGGTCCCTCTGCTTTTTTCTCTCCCTTTCCCCAGTCAGGAAGAAGCTCACACGAGTTCATTCTTTCTCATAGGCAAGCGCACCCCTTGGCGGGGGATACTGCTCTTCGGACCTCCCGGCACCGGGAAATCCTACCTGGCCAAAGCAGTGGCGACGGAGGCCAACAACTCCACCTTCTTCTCTGTGTCCTCCTCAGACTTGATGTCTAAGTGGCTTGGGGAGAGCGAGAAGTGAGTCCACCGCCAGGCTCCGCTCCCACGGCAGCTGCAGTGGCTGCTCGTGGTCCGGCTTCCCGGCTCTTGGACTCGCCTCCCAGAGGCACCGGGAGAGGGGTATCTTGCTAGCTTGTCAGGTGGGACGCTGTCCTGACAGAGCCAGCCGAGACTGGAAGGTCACTTGGGAGCCATGAATCCACATGAGGGGAAAGGAGAGGCACTGACAGTAACAGGGTTTCAGCTAAGTGTCCTCCACTGGGGACTTTATACAGTTAACTTATTCCCCACACTGGCTCCCATTTTGCAGATGAGGAGACTGAGGCTGAGAGGAAGGGAAGGGACTTGTCCTCCATCCAGAGCTAATGAACGGGGCTGCCAGATTTGAGACTGATGCTGAGGCTTGCTCGTCCTCCCAGTGCAGGGCTGCCCGAGGACTTGTCACCACTGTTTTTCTGTCGACTCAGCCTCTCCGAGGGAAGGGCAAGAGGAGGGTGGTGCCAGGGACCCGGGCTGGGCCGGGATACCACCCGTGTCTCCCCTCACAGGCTGGTCAAGAACCTGTTCGAGCTGGCCCGGCAGCACAAGCCCTCCATCATCTTCATCGACGAGGTGGATTCGCTCTGCGGATCCCGCAACGAGAATGAGAGCGAGGCTGCCCGCAGGATCAAAACGGAGTTCCTAGTCCAGATGCAGGGTGTGTGCCAGTCCCCGGTCTCCTCCCCACTCCTCGCCCCACCTGAAGCCAGCCCCGGACTTTGATTTAGCTGTGGCTGAATCTGACTGCCCTTACAGTGGAGGGACTAGCAGAGAAGCAGTTCTTAGCTCCTTCTCATTGAGGCCGTGGCCGGCCGCCTCTCCACCCTTCCCGAGGCGGGCAGGGCTGTGGGGCTTGTACCCCAGTAAGGCTTGCCAGGGCCCTGCCGGGGGGATCAGGAGATAGCTCCAGTTCAGGACAGAGCCCCCGAGGTCCTCCCCCCCAGGTCCTGAATGAGCCTGGCAGGTGCTGAGTCAGCGTCTGTGTTTCCCTTTGTCCACAGGGGTGGGGAACAACAATGATGGGACTCTGGTGCTAGGTGCCACAAACATCCCATGGGTGTTGGACTCGGCCATTAGAAGGAGGTGAGTCTTCCCTGGAGGAGCCCAGGGCCGAGGTCTGTCTCCAGCCATGGTCAGCCTACAGCTGGCAGCAGGCATGTAGCTGGACCCTGTTTCTCTGGCGGCTTCTCCGAGTCTTCAGAGCCCTTAGTGAGGCCGGCTTCTGGAGGGCCCCCGAGCCCTCCATTGAGACTGTCCCGCCTTCCGCTTTCAAGTCCTGCTGTGTGCTTGGCTCTCTAGGTTTGAAAAGCGAATTTATATCCCATTGCCGGAGGAGGCTGCCCGCGCCCAGATGTTCCGATTGCATCTGGGAAGCACTCCTCACAACCTCACAGACGCCAACATCCACGAGCTGGCCCGGAAGACGGAGGGCTACTCAGGCGCAGACATCAGCGTCATTGTGCGGGACTCCCTCATGCAGCCCGTGAGGAAAGTGCAGTCGGCAACACACTTCAAAAAGGTGAGCGGGCCCACAAGGAGCCGCTTAGAGAGTGTCACAGGAAAGGGGGTGTTGGCTCTCTGGCTGCTTGGGTGACCACGCATGTGGGTTAAGCTGAGGTTAAGTGCGTGGTGAGTTCTTGGGCTTCAGGGGCCTGGGCTGTACCTGCTCCCATCAACCCTGCAGTGCTGGCTTGAGGGCGATCACCTCAAATCGGGTGATGCCAGAGGACAGGGCGCCGTGACCACCACCTCCGCCCCCTGCATCAGCTCTGTGCTGATGCATGTGGTGGACCCTGCTGCGTGTGTGAAAGCAAGAGTCACAAAACGGCACACCACGAAGAGAAACTGCATTCACACGGTAGATGTCTGTCAGGGTCACTGCAGGCACTGCTGGCTCCGCTCTGGGTGTTGGGGCGACACCTGTGACCACAGCAGATGGAAACCCTTACAGGAGCCTCATTTCCAGTGGGGAGACAGACAGCAAAGACTCCTTTCTTAGAGGGTGATGGGGGAAACAGGGCAAGGGAGGGAGGGCTGGTGTTCTGCAATTTGGAGGGGGTATGGGTAGGTTGTGCTCTTAATGGATGGGGCGCCCTGGGTGAACCGAGTCAGGAGTTGAAGGATGTAAGCGTTGAGCCCTAGAGATACTTGGGAAATGTTGCCAACGGAGCAGGCAGCCTTTGGTTGGAAAAACACTTGATGTCACTGCGTTCATGGTGAGATTTGATGGAGTTGATGAGGAAAGGAAGCTTTCTAGACCTTTGGGTCACAGATTGCGGTTCTGGAGAACAACAACTGGAACAGCATGCTGATCGCAAACCTCTGAAATCAGACTGGGAGCCACCCAGACTCCCAGGGCCCAAGAGTTTGAAGGAGCCCATCACTCAGATCAGACTGCTGATCTAGAAACCCAGGCCTTTGTCCACATCACGCTGTCACCTTCTCCTCAGGGCTCAGAAACCCGAGGTGTCCTGCCCCTTCCCCGGATGCCAAGGGGCAGCCCCGCCAGCCAGTCAGGCTCCTGTTTGGTTTCAGGTCTGTGGCCCTTCCCGCACCAACCCTAGCATTATGATCGATGACCTCCTGACCCCATGCTCGCCGGGGGACCCAGGGGCCATGGAGATGACTTGGATGGATGTCCCTGGTGACAAACTGCTAGAGCCTGTAGTTTGCATGGTAAGTTGCTGGCTGGGAGAGAGGACTATAGAGAGCCCAGGAACCTGGGGGTTTGGATCCAAAAATAAAATCTGCTCCTCCCCTTCCATGTTCTGGGCTATTGTGGCTCCTCCTAGACAGAATGGTCTCTGGGGCTCTGAGGAGCTGGCGCTCCTTATACCAGACTCAGTAGGGACCCAGGCGGAGGCCGTAGTGTTAGAACTGTATCTTCTTCAACAGGAAGAGTAAAGGCCAGGTGAGGACTGCTTCTTTGGTACCTCAGGTTGGCCTCCTAACCCAGAAGGAACTGGTAGCTGTCTTCAGCACTGTTGATTTGGTGCAGTTGGACAGGCAGCCACTCTGCTCACTGTTCCTGGCCTCTCCTTATCTCAGCCTTGCCAGTGGTCTTGGCTCTGCTGTGAGGTGGTGTCAGGCAAGATCACTGGGCCTGGTGTGGTGGGCGTGCATTTACAAAGAGCTTCTCACAGGAGTTAAGAGATAACAGGGACTTAAGATTCCCTCAACAAGAAGTAGGCTGTCTAGAAATGTCATGGGTTGCCCCAGGAGGCCTTCGGGCAGAAGCCAGGTTCTGCATTTGGGGCTTGGGGGTGACCTTCGAGGCAGGGCTCTTCCCACCCTGGACTGCGTGTGGCTGAGACTCAGCTGGGCTTGGAGCCCAGCCCCCCTCACCTGCCTGCACTTCTTTTTGCAGTCGGACATGCTCCGGTCTTTGGCCACCACTCGGCCCACTGTGAATGCAGAAGACCTCCTGAAAGTGAAGAAATTCTCAGAGGACTTTGGACAGGAGAGTTAAAAGCTTCCTCACTTGCCTGATGGTGAAGGTGGGAGGTTGATTGGGGTCAATCCACAGTACTCCCCAGGTCAGTGGCCACACAGAGCTCCCGCGCTCGTCCCAAGGCCACTGTGGCATCCCCCTGCTGACCGGCCATCAGTGGGAGCAGGAAGGAAGGGCCTCCCCGCCACGGAGTCGCAGAAGCACGTTCAGTGCCTGGGGGTACTGGCTCTTCCTGCTTCCTCCTCCTCCTCCTCTGGATGCTCACCATCTCCTTGTCCTGCCCCACTCCCATGGTTTTTTTTTTAAACCACTCTTTGTTCCCCTAAATTAATGCTGCTTGGATTTTTGACTTGTTTATAAATTCAAAACCTGCCCAAGGCGTCAGGAGTGGGAGCGGCCCCTGGCCTTGGGGTTGGCGCAGTGGCCCTTCAGAACAGCTGCCCAGCGCCCCCACCCCCGCTGCCCCTCCTGTCCAGATCCAAGTATTGCTCCATGTGAAGGGAATGGCTGTTGCCTGGAGTCCCCAACCCAGACTCTGCCTGTAAGGGCCACAAGTAGAGCCAAGCCATTCGCTCCCTCCGGGCCCTGTGTCCTCCCTGCAGGAGGAGAGGATGGTTTTTGTGAGCACAAAGCTTGTAGATCAGACCGAGGGAAGGCAGTCAGGCAAGTGTCACTGCTGCCTTTTTCTAATCCCTCTGAATGTGAGAACGCTGATCCCAGCCTCTGCGCTGATTCCCTGTCCTGGAAGCGGGCTAATAAACCCTTTTCGTTTCTTGAGCCGCCTGAGAGCGATCTCATCTTTGACTCCTGTCGGGCTCCTTGAAGGCCACACTTGCTTCCCCTAGAAAGACCCTCTGGTCTCTGTTCTCTTCAGCGGAGCTGCAAGTAAACAGGAATGTCACCAGCAGCTGCAGTTCCCGTTCTCCCATCGCATTCACAAGACCTTTCTTCCCCCAAAGCCTTGGAAGTGGTGGGTGTGTTTCAGGGACCTGGGCAGTTCTTGTTCAACTTCCAGATGAGAGCCTGCAAGCAGAGAGGCCTGTGGGCTAGACACGGGCTGCGGTTATGCTTTGGTTTGGTCTGCTGCCAACATTTAAAAGTCAAGAGCTGACAAAAATTGAGATCTCTGGCTTCTGAAGCAGGTTAGGGAAACCCTGGCCCTGCGTCCAGGATCTGCCTTCTGCGTCAGGGGACTGTGCCCTCCGGCTCACCCTCCCCACCCAGACTGCCTCACTCCGTGGCATTTCCTGTCCAGCCCCGGTGGCCCCTTGCGTTTGTGATTCCTGGTAGTGGGGCAGCCACGGCTCCAGAGCTGGTGGCAGGCCTGGGGATACTGTCTGAGGGGTGGCAGGAACAGCCTGGCATCCGGTTGCTCTAGCTCTCCTCCCCCTCCCAGTCCTCAGTATCTCCAACCAGAATGGCCCACGACTGATGTTGTTAGCATTGCACTGTGGGGTTTCTTTGATATGGGTAGGGGTTTCTGCTGAATTGAGCCAGCTTTTGCTCCGTTCCTTGAAGGCTTAGGCGCAGTGCTCCTTCCTCTCCAGTGCAGTGGGTCAGCCCTGCTCCTGTTACCTGGAGCATCAGCAGGCCTGACCTCCAGATGGTGCTGTGCTGGGTCGGGGGAGCTGTGTCACTTGCTGGAGAGTTTCCACATCATGTTCCTGATTAGTTAGTTATGGACCCTCGCCACCAGTTACCATTTGAAAATACCATTCAAAAACCAACTGGCCACCCCCTCCCTGTACTGCTTCATTGTAGTCGGTTGTATTTCGTTACCTTTATTTAAATCAGAAGGCCCTTGCCTTTTTTTTTTTTCAACCTGCTTCCTTCTTGCTGCTGCTTGAATGCATTGGCAAGTCACAGGGGCTACCAGAGGGCTGCTGGGGTTCGTCGTCACAGTTCTCATCACAGCTGTTCTGCCTTCCCACTTCTCTCTCTACCCTGAGTGACAGGGCAGACACATGTCTTGTTCGCTGCTGAGGCTGGCACAGTGGTGATCCTCAACATGGCTAATAAGTGCAGAGGAACTTCCTTCCCTAAGCGCTTACTCTGAAATTCACTTCCTCCCTACCTGGTGATTCCATTCTTAACCCTCTGCCTACATTGATTTACTCTCCGGAAGTTGACTTCTAAAACTTTCATTAGCTCAAGGTGCTGAATCATGTGTGTGGTCTTGCAGCTGATGTATCTGCCCAAGGTGGAAGAGAGTTTCTTCCTCGTAGAGGCAAGGATTTGTTGTCTTCGGGTTGTACTGTCTAGGGTTAATTGATCAAATCCATCCTTATTTATTACAACCATAAATCTAATCTATTGTCAGCAACAGAATCTCAGGCTTTCCCCATTGAGCAGTCATTGACTTTTGGACCTTAAGTCAGGAAGCGTCCAGCAGATACTACCAATCTGTATAACAAAGGCATGATTAAGGACTGTTGACCTCAGTAAGGAACCTTCAGAATGTTTTAATCTGATCCTGCAAGGGAAAGGAAGCTCACTGAATCCTAATTTTCCTAAGGAGCCATGTTTTCAGTATAAATGAGAGCTTACTACAGATTCCGCCAGGGCTGAGTCTGTCCTCACCTCAGGGCAGTGCTAGGCCCTGCTCCTCCCTGAAGTGTGATGGACACAAAGCCAGACTCGGCTGGCTTGCTTGGCCTCACACACCCCCAGACTTGGCTGTTTAGAGAAAGCACCTGGGGAGAGTGGGTCTTTTCTGGGTCGTTTCATTAACTGCCATTTAAGATACATTTTCTCTATAAACAGCTTACTGGACTTCTTACTATACCTGTGCTTGGATTTTGGAGGACTTCGGTAAGAGTACCTGCATGGCAAAACTCAACATAAAAATGGGTTCTTTCACCTCTTGACAAAGCTCTGACAGAATCTTAAAGCTAAAACTGCGGTCACCATGATGCTGGTTTATTTTTTCAGAGTAAGTGTGGTGACGAGGAAGCAGAAGTTCTGCTTTCTGTTTCTGCCCTGACTGTGACAGGAGGCTCATTGCTTCTTCTCAACTACAGGCAGTCCCCACTTGTTGAAACGACTTTGCACTGCTTCACTTTTATGAAAGACCTACATTAGTACCTGTTTTCAAATGGAAAGAAACTTGAAGAGGACTTTCACTTTTACAAAAAAAGGCAAAAGCTAAAACAGCATTCAGCTTCTGTTTTGCAGCAAGCTCTTACAGAAGCAGCAAGCACTCAGAGCAGCCAGGGGGGCACCACCAAGCTCCTTCCCCAGGAGCTACACTCAGCCTCTCAGCGTCAAGTCGCCATCGCTTTGAACTGTGTCTGTGAACATCTGTGCTGTTTCTCGATTTATTTTGTGCATCTGTTAGCATGATGTGTCCTAAGGTAACTGCTTCTTCCATGTATGCTATTTCAGCTTAAGAAAGGCTTCATCAGAATGTTCTTTCAGATCATGGGGAAACCTGTATTGCCCCTTTCCCAGCCCTGCTCCATGGCCTCCACCCAAAGAACGAGCCACGTACCAGCAACCTAAGAGATCTCAGCAGGAAATCTTCCCCAGGCCTGTTAAAGGTGGAAAGCAAAGGCCCGAGACCTAAACTATATCTGAACCTTGAAAAATGTATGACTACTCAGTTATGTTAATACTGTCATTGAACTGGAGATATTCTGTCCTGTGTTTTACTTCCACAGGCAGACTGGTATCCAAAACAGAGACTATGCGAGTAACACACATAGACCCTCTGTAACATAAGAAATTGGTGAAGACGATCAACCACAACCTTAATCTGCATTTTAAATACAGCTTTCAGATGTTTGGGGGATACATCATTATCTAATCTTGGCTTGGGGAATAGATGGCTACACGCCTCTGAAATCACATCTACTGAGAGTGGCTATTTATTTGCACCACTCACCTCCCATCTCTATACAAAATTGCCAGGAAATGTCCACTCTTTTAGGGGAGATATTTTTCTTCTCAAGTTGAAAGCAATATATTGTCCATAGCTCATTTCAGAGTACACATTTTTAGCATCTTCCTCCAACTCAGTTTGGTAGCTCTGGCAGTCCGTTGTTTTCTGTCAGAGCAGAGCCAACACCAAGTCCAGCAAGGAAGATGTGCCCAGCTCAAAGCCAGAGTGTGTGTGTCTTGGTTAGTCATTCACCTCCATCCAGTGGATGTTTGTAAACGTCTTGCTGTCCATTTTGTCAATGAACAGGCAGCCCTGCAAGTGGTCCATCTCGTGCTGGATGATGCGGGCTGCCCACCCACTTGCCTGCCACACCACCTGCTCTCCTCTAGGGTCCAACCCTGCAAAGGAAGGTACAGCCTGCGTGAGGACATGCTGGAACTCCATCATTCTCAACCTACTGAGACTTTCCCTGTCCCTGGCTGTGTTTACAAGAGGCAACATCAGAAGGGAATGCAGACGGCAGCCCCTCTCCATCCTAAAAACGAAGTCTGAACTCTGACTCTACCAAGTATTCAACCAGGTTCCCAATCCTGACAGGTGGGTTGCTAGGCTCACTATGGGGCTAAAATGAGAAATGATCTTCCCAAGTGGCTTGCTCAAGAAGAACCACCATCCCAACCCTCCAGCAAAGAATCACATTCTGTAGAATATCCTGAGGTATGACTGACAGGTACTGGCTTATCACCCTGAGCTAGGCAAAGCTGGGTTCCACTTCTCCCAAGCCACCACCACAGATCTAATAGCAGCAGAGATGTGTGTGTGAGAGAGAGAAAAGAGACACAGGGTGAGCGACAGGGTAGAGGACGGGGTGAGCGCTCACAGCGGAGCCAGGCCCCCCTTCCAGTCCCCACCCCTGTGCCCCAGTTGAGCTGGCTCTGCTCCCACAGCACCTCCTGCCCCGTCCCATCAGTCCTGAATTTCGTCCACTCTAGGGTCTGCTCTTTGTTCCTGTCGGTAGGCTCCTCAGATCAGCCATTAACGTGTATACATTTAACTGCAACTTGGTGTAAACTGTTTCGTGGGATCCGAACCCGCCGCCTACACAGGTTGAAGGGAAGCACACAGGCACCCAGTCGCCGCCCCAGGGACCCCACCTTTCCGCACCTGAGATCTGCACCGCCTGGAAGCGGGGCACGCAAGCAAGGAAGCCAGCAACACTCTCGCAGCCCTCAGGGAACGTGACCAGGCGGCTGTCCAGCACCCGCAGGCTGGGGTTCACGAACACGCGCAGGGGGAAGGGCTCCATCTGACGGGCCTCGCGCACACGCGGCGCGCAAGCGCGGAAGAGCGCCTCGGGGAACTCCAGCGCCAGTACCTGCAGCGGCACCCCGAGCTGCGGTGCGCTCAAGCCCACGCAGTGCCGGCGCCGCATCACTTGCACTAGCCGCTCCACCAGCCGCTGCAGCTCGGGTCCCGCCAGCTGCGCCGGCTCTACCGGGGCCGCCACGGCCCGCAGCGCCGGATCCCCGACCTGGCACACGTGCGGGTACGGCGGCTCCGGCGTTCCCTGCACCAGACGCCGCACGTAGCGCCAGTAGGAGCGCCGGCGCGCCGGCCCCTCGAGTCCATCCCGGGCGGGCGTGGAGCTGTAGGCCCGGGCGCCGCCGACCGTTACCCGCTCTCCCCACAGCAGGGCCGACCCAACACAGCGCGGCGCCCGCAGCCACCGCAGCAGCAGCCCAACTCCCAGGTGACCCATGGCGCGTGGAGCAGAGTCGCCCGCCCGGACGCGTCCCTCGTCGGCCCCCGTAGCCGAGGCTCCGCCGCCAGGGACGCCGGGAAGTGAAGTTTCCGTGCGCCTTCCGGGAGCGCCGGCGCCGCTCCCAGTACACAGCCTGGTTCCGCGGCGTCTTTCAGCCTTAAGTCCCGTTTCTGATAGTCCCCCTCCCCCCGCCCCCGTTTCTGATAGTTTAACCAAGCATTTACAAGAATAGCCAAGAGGTCACTATTTTTTAAATTTAATTGGAATATGGTTGCTTTACAGTATTGGGGGTTCTCTCTTGAATTACGCGTTTTGCAGCCTCTCCCAAGCGCGGCAACACCCGTTCCCACCGGGGCCGCGTAACCTTCCCCCGCCCCGCGCCCGGGGACCCGCCGCATCGGCCTTGGGGGCAGGCAGCGCCTGTCAGATACCCGCACTAGGCTCGTCGGGCTGCGGGGGCCGCGCGGACTCCACCTCCTCTTGCCCCGCGTCAGGGACAGCTGGGCGGACGCGCTCCGGGCTCGGCGCCTCGGGGGACAGTGCGGGCGCTGGAGCCGGGAGCGCGGGGACTAGCTCCTTGTCCGGACAGAAGACCGGCTCTCTCTTGGGCAGGATAAAGGCCAGAGGCTCCTGGACTACGCTGACGCTCACGTGCCCCAGGTTTCCGTACTTGGAGAGCTGAGTGGGTGGGATGCCTGACCCAGAAGGTAAAGAGCATAAGTGAAAAAACTTTAATAAGTTTAAATATTGAAGTGTCACAAGGGAAAAAATCCCAAAACACTTACTGGGAGTAACGAACACAAGTTACCACATTTCAGTACTGTAAAAATCACCTTTGTGATAGGGGACAGGGAGCTGTGCCGTAAAGCCAGACTGGGAAGGTAAGCGAAACAGCACAGTGCAGGGCGGATGGAGAAGGGAGAGCCTGGGCAGGCACTGGCTTCCCCGGACAGGGCCAAGGAGAAGCTGGGGGAGCCAAGAGCAGCCACTCTGCTGGTGGGACCACTGCCCACTGCCCTCCCGCATGCCCTTCACCACACAGAGACAGTGGACAAAGGGACACGAAGGCAAATTACAAAAAAATACTTCATAAACACCGTCTATAAACATTTCATGGCAATGGAATCATACATTGTGGTTTCTTGTGATTGGCTTCTTTCACTTAGCCAGATATAAACATATTGAATGAGTCTATTGATAAGAAATGTCCAAAAAAAAGAAAAAGAAATATCCAGAAAGGGAAAATCTACTGCAACAGAGAGTAGGTTAGTAGCTGCCAGGGGCTAAGGGTGAGATTGGGGAATGACCACAAATGAACACCAGGGATCTTTGGGGTGATGGAAATGTTCTAAAATTAGATGGTAGCAATGGTTGCACACCTCTGTACATTTTTACTAAAAACTCTTAATTTTAAAAATAGGTGAATTACTTAGTATGTGAATTATGTCAATAAAATAGTTTTAAAAATCTTTTCTTCTCCCTTCTCTTACCTAAGGTCTGTGCGATCTGAGCTGGAGGAAAAAGGACTTGGAGACAGCGATTTAAATAAGGAACAAGGTCTTCCAGGAAGACAGTGCAGAACTGGATAAAGAGCTCTTGCTCCCCACTGCTGAAGGCAGCCTCTTCTGCACGATGGAAGGCCAGGATTACTTTAGTTACCTAGGAGAAAAGGGCACCACCAATTACCTCTTAATCTATCCCCATCAGCAGTGACAAACATGTGCAGCCCTCAAGTTTTCCAAAAGAACAGTCCTTCCAAACAGTACATCATTATCTTGTTTAAATTCACAACTGTGGTCAGTCTTCACAATTCTGTCACTTCAATGATATATTCCTTACTCAACTAGTTTTATTATTGGCTCAGTTTCCAATTCCAGTGCAGGAACATCATGAAATACACAGAATACATCATTTTTGGCTCCCATGGGAGATGGACTAGAACTCTGATGGATCCAGGAAAATACCAGCAATACCATAAAAGGTTTTACTGAGTAAGGCCTCTGAAGTTCCAAAATGCTAGAACCACTAGAAAATTGTAAAGGAGGAGGAAAACAAGAGCTGGAAAAGAACATACATTATTTCCACATACAAATAACAGAGCAAGCCTAGCTAACATTACAGACAGGTGTCACGGTGACAGGGTTAAGAACAGAGACTCTGGGAAACTGCCTGGTGGTTCAGTGGTTAGAAATCTGTGCTTTCATTGCCGAGGGCCTGGGTTCAATCCCTGGTCACAAGCTGCAATGTACCGCCAAACAAACAAGTAAATAACAAAGAGCCTCTGGTGCTAAATGTTCTGGGCTCTAGATCAAGCTGTGCACTCAGTGCTTCTGTGGCCTCTAAGTGATTACTTAGCCCTCTGTGTCTGACAGTTCACTCATCTATAAAGCAGAGCCAGCAGAAGGACCTAACCTCATAGAATTGTGAGGATAAAGGCTGAATATGTATAAAGTGTGATGAACTATGTGACATGAGGTAAGCTCTAGATGGATACTAGCTAATTACTATTATCTGAATTTCACTGACCCTAAAAAGCCTCATTGCTCATGCTTTCTTGCTGTTTCTTACAGGAGGACATCAACAGAAAGACTCGATACAAGCACGTCACAACTGCCACCTGGTTGACAGGGACTATAGGATGCCATCAATTGTAAGAATCTAAAGATGTAATGTTTAAAAACGTGCACCATACTCAGAAATTAGTAGGATCAGTAGTGTTCCTTATATTAGATAGAATTCTAAGACGGCTCTTGTGATCCCCACCTCCTGGTACCCACTCCTTTGTGTTTTCTCCTCCTCCTTGAGCGCAGGCAGAACCAAAAGGATATGGCAAAGGTGAAGGATTCTGCAGTTTTCATTAACATCCCAAATCGGCTGACTGTGAATTAATGAAAAAGGAAGTTATCCTGGGTGGGCCTGACTTAATTAGATGAACCTCTTAAAAAGAGGGCTGAGGAAGAGACTCAAGCAGGAGAGATGCTCTCCCACTGGCCCTGAAGAATCAAAGCTGTGAACTGCTCATGGAGTGGGGTGGTCTCCAGGAGTTGAGGGCCTCAGTCCTACACTGTAAGGAACAGGAATATGCCACTGTGAATGAACCTGAAAGGAGGGGATCCCGAGCCCCAGATGAGTCCACAGTCGGGCCAACACCTCGATTACAACCTTGTGAGCAGAAGCTCAACCCAGTTATACTGTGCCTGGACTCCTGACCCACAGAAACTGAGACATGATAAATATGTGTTGTTTTAAGCTGCTATGTTTGTGTGAGTTTGTCATGCAGCAACAGAAAACCAATACATCACTGAAAAATTACTACAGGTGAGCCACTTCATGAAGGAGGACTAACCAGACCTTTTCAACTAGAAAAACCTCTAAAACCACACTAAACCTAAGTCAGCAGGCACCCTGTCACACAGACTGGTGTATTACAAAAGTCTGGCCACCTGTAACAGAAGGAGCACCCTGCTACCGCCCCCCACAAAAAGAAAGGAGGCCCCAGTAGAGAGCCAACAGTCTGCGCTCACCTTGTCAAGGGCGTCCTCCAGGGCCCTAGTCACATCCTGCGCCAGGGCCACGGGGCAGCAGAGGCGTAGATCATTGAAGGCGACCAGAATGTTGTTGAGGAAGCAGGCAAGGGGCGGGAAATCTAAGAGCACCATGGGCGGCTGCAGGGTCCCCGGCTGAGTGACTGGAGCAGCAGCCGGCAGGGTACTGCTGCCCAGGACGGCTGGAGTCGAGATGAGCGTATAAGAGTTCATTTCATCCTGGAACTTCTCGACAGCCTCCTGAATTGCTTTCTGGAAAGTGCTGATAGCCACCTGCTGGAAAACAGGTGCCAACTGACCCCGGAAATCAGCCCCTACTCGACTGAAGGACAGCCCAAAGTACATGCACTGGCCCAGCAGAGAGTCCAGACGGCTGCCAATCCCTCGGTTAAGGTCGGTCTCCAGCACCTGCAGGAACTGTGAGACTTTCTGCAGCACCCAGCCGTGGAAGATGGCACTCTCATTCACCATGTGCTCACCCATGGCAGGAGGCAGCAGAGGGTCCTCGTCTGAGAAGATGGCACGGTACTGGGTGATAATATCGAACAGATGGACACGGCAGGCCTCGATGGTTTTTGTGATGTGGAAATAGGGATCATCATTGGGGATGGCAGTCAGGATGGAACGGAGCCAAGCATCTCGGGCCTGAAGAAACTTGACCCTCAGCTCAGCCTCAGTGAAGACATCCATTTGCCGTAGAAAGCCAATGACACGGAGGCAGGCAGGGAGCTGGATGTTGGTCCTCAGTTGTTGGATCAGCTGGCTCAGCATCAGCTGCATGGACTGGCGCACTTCATTCACAATGCCCTGACAACACGGGGTGAGTCAGTACGCTGGGGAAGACATTCCCCGGAACCCATTCCACTAGCCCTGAATATTGCCAACCAACATTCCCACTGCTGTCCTGACGTATGAGATAGACATCCTGAAACTGATGCATCCAGGCTTACCAACAAAGATTCGGTTCACTGTGGCCTACCGGCCCTGCCTGGTTCTCCTGCCCTCACCTGCATCCTAATGCTCTCCCCTTGCTCACTGCAGACGAGCCAGAATGGCTGTCTTTTTCACTTCTAAACACTCCAACTTCTTCTCTCCTTAGCCTGCTATACTTGGTCAGACACTTTCTGGTTTGGTCTCTCCCCACATCATCATGTGGCTGGATTCTCATCATCTGGGTCTCAGTTTAAATGTTACTTCTCCAGAAAAGCCTTTTCTGACCACTCTTCCTGGAGCAACCCACCTAGTCTTCTACACCGCTCCCTGGTGTATTTCACTATCTGAAAGGATATTATCTATTTGCCAGTTAACAGCTTATAGTCACAAGAGCCACAGCCTTGTCTTTGTTCACACTACTTCCCTAGTTCACACTACTTCCCAGGCACCTAGATCATGCCTGGCACATGGGTAATATTTATCAGCTGACTGAATAATGAATGTATGTTTTATGAATAAGCCTGCCTGCCTTGCAGTAACTGATGTGAAACATGCAAGGAGTTTCCCCAAGGTTTCTGCCTAAAGGGTCAGTGATGACCACAGAATTACTGACCATAAGAACATAAGTTTGAGTCTTCTCTGGGCAAGTTGGCTACCTGGATGACAGGGATGGAGGAGTATTTCCTTTCTAGTCGGCGTACGTAGGCTGCCAGCTCCAGGGCCTCTTCATAATAGCTGTTCCGGACACAGGTGTCCATGAGCTGAGGGATCTCCAGGATCTCCAGAATTTCCGTGTGCCGGTTTAGAGTCAGGGTGTTCATCCGGCGATTGGAACTGATCTCCTCAGCCTCTTTCACAAAATTCCTAGTAACAGTCAGGAGAACATTTGGTGGTTCACCGCTCTGCATCCAGTTACCAAGCACTTACTATGAACTGACACCAGGCTAGATGATTAATCTGATTTAATCTTTACACCAAACTCATCAGGTACTTTTATCCCAAAGATTTTAAGCAACTTGTCTAAGATCACACAACTAGCAAGTGATTAAAAAAAAAAAGATTTGAATCCAGATATGCCACTTAACTACTCTTGCCTGAAAAATCCCACGGACTGAGGAGCCTGGTAGGCTGCAGTCCATGGGGTTGCTAAGAGTCGGACTCAACTAAACACTTCACTTTCACTTTTCACTTTCACGCATTGGAGAAGGAAATGGCAACCCACTCCAGTGTTCTTGCCTGGAGAATCCCAGGGACAGGGGAGCCTTGGTGGGCTGCCGTCTCTGGGGTCACACACAGTCGGACACGACTGAAGTGACTTAGCAGCAGCAGTAGCAGCATGCCACTTAACAAGCCATGGCAAGGTACTTAGTCTCTCTGAACTGTTTCTTCATTGGTAAAATAGTACTACGACCCACCTCATAAGGATGTGAGGATTAAATGAGCTGATACGTATAAACCATTTAACACAGAATCTGATATGGAGTAAATGTTCCTTTAATAATGGCTGTTCTTATTTGCCCCAAGTAGCTTTGAACTACAACCTAACCCCCAAGTTCCCTCAGCCTCTTAATCTCTGCTATTGTCCAACCTTAGTTCCTGCTACAGTCCCCCTTTCTTCTTTGTAACTGCAGAGGCCTGCTTTGTGAAGCCCCTTCTCTATTCTAGAGGACTGGAAGAATGTGAAAGCTATTCTCAAATATTGAAAGACTCTAAAGAAAACACTTTTCTCATGAAAGGGTGGAAGGCAGAATTAGGGATAATCATGGAGAGAGACAGAATATGGTTTAAAAAGGAAGTTTGGTGGAGTTTTTGTGGGTTTTTTTGAGGATTATTACTGCTCCCAAATGGGATTTTCTTGTCAGTCTCCTGTCAGTGAAAGTTTTGCATCAGATATATCTGATCCAAGCTGTCTTTATGTACGTGTGTGTTGTGTGTATGTTTACGTAAATATGCACATATATTAAACTGACAGTTGTAGGGTGTTAATTATGATATGTCAGACCCAATGATAAGTGCTTTGTATGCATTCCATTTAGTGCTCACAACAGCCCTATAAGAGGGACGTGCTGCTGGGTTCCAGTTCTGACTTAGAAACATCCTGGGGCGGTATCAATTTCCTTATACACAAAATGGGAATGGCATACGTACCTCGAAGGCTGTTGTGATGCTTAAAAGGATTAATAAAATGCTCAGAGGAGAAGCTGGCATATAGTAAGCGCTAAGTGTTAGGTATTCCTATCATCATAAAGACAACTATTACAGTTATTAAAAGCCCCTCTAGCTCCGGGCCCGCCGCACCTGCAGCTCTGTTGGAAGCTGGGCAAGCGGTCGAGCAGGCGGCCGAGCGACTCCTCCACATCCCCAAAGAGGCGGTGGATGCGCTCGGTGCACTCGGCGCCGCGGATGAAGGTCTTGTAGTTGGCGAAGGCCAAGTCGCGCGTCTGCTGCAGCAGCTGCGCTCGCTCCTCGGCCAGGCGCTCGGGCTCCCGCCGTAGCCGCTCCAGTCCTGAGCCACTCAACTCCCTGAGATAGCGTCCCACGTCAGGCCGCTCCCGCCACTGGGCCTCCGGAAAGCGGTCCCGGAACAGCGACGCCAGGAGTCCTTCATCCTCCACCTCCCCGAGAGCAGCCGCGGTGGCTGTCGTCGTGGCCGAGGCCGTAGTTGAAGATGGGATCGTTGCCGTCGCCGCCATCTTTTCGGCAACAGCGTCACTTCCTCTCCCGTCCAGGGAGGGCGCTGACTTTCTAATCTAGAACCGGAAGCGGCTGGCGCTCACTTCCAGTCTCTATGGTTTCTCGTCAGGCCGGCTTTCTTTTCCCGAGAGTCCTCCAGATTACGGGGCGCTAGCGTGGGGAACTATTAGAACGCAGCTAGAGAGGCCGGCTTTGGGGTTGCCAAGGGGCGGCCGGCGGCTGGGCTTCCGTTTCCGCTAACTGAGGCACGAGGATCCGGCGTTCCAACCCAGCGGGAAAATGCGGCCGCTGACTGAAGAGGAGACCCGAGTAATGTTTGAGAAGATAGCAAAATAGTAAGAGCGCTGGAGCAGAAGAGGGAGTGTGTGGTTGGCGGGGAGGAGCGTGGGTAGGGAGTGGGGCGCGGTGTGTGGACGAGTCCGGGCGCCGTCTCCAGTCCTCATTTTGCTCTCAGCATCGGGGAGAATCTTCAGCTGCTGGTCGACAGGCCCGACGGCACCTACTGTTTCAGGCTGCACAACGACCGGGTGTACTACGTGAGGTGAGGCGGCACGGGGCCAGGTAGGCAGCGTGGAGCGGGTGCGGGCCTGGGTCCCACCGTACTCCCTCACCTCCTCCTTCCCTATCCCTTAAGTGAGAAGATTTTGAAGTTGGCCGCCAATATCTCCGGTGACAAGCTGGTGTCGTTGGGGACGTGCTTCGGAAAATTCACCAAGACCCATAAGTTTCGGTTGCACATCACGGCTCTGGATTACCTAGCACCCTATGCCAAGGTTTGTAAGGTGGTTTCAGCTCGCCACTAAGGATGGAGGCAGTCTAGGCCGAGGGCCACATCAGAACGCAGAATTAGGCACATCTGCTCCGCAACGGAGTCCCTGACCATGCTTAGGGTCAGTGCCAGCACCTGTAGCCGTGCATCTGCTACCTGGGCGTCGTTGGTGCTGGGGGGTAGGAGCTCACCCTGTGGGGCTGCGTAGTGGTCCTTATCTCCAGCAAAAATTGAAAAGCCTATGCAAACGCTGCTCGAGACCAAAAAGGAAATAGGTGGCTATGAAGAGGAGCACAGTGGGCTACAGAAAAAGAGCTGTTAAACTTTAAGCCCATGGGAGAAATTGAAGAGTTGAGGAAAGAATCTCATGGTAGTTCTCTCATGGAGTGAACGGTTTAAGGGAAACAGCCCTCTTTCCCTGAAAATTCATATTACAAAATAAATGATGTGTAGAAATAACAGTCACTATGTTTTGTACCTGCAACTGACATAGTATTGTAGGTCACAGTACTTCAGTTTTGAGGTCACAAAGAGTCGGGCACGTCTGAGCAACTGAACATACACATGCATGCACATAATTCAGTGTAAAAGTAAAAGAGCTTAGTTCATAAGAAAAAAAGAAATTAACCACAGACATAGTAGTTAGCTAATCTACAAGGGTGTAACTGTTAGCATTTTTATGTCTTTTGGGTTTAATTCTTTTTCTTCTAGTATAAAGTGTGGATAAAACCTGGCGCAGAGCAGTCCTTCCTGTATGGGAACCATGTGCTGAAATCTGGACTTGGGCGAATCACTGAAAACACTTCTCAGTACCAGGGAGTCGTGGTGTACTCCATGGCAGATGTCCCTCTGGTGAGTAGAGATAGTGGCTGTTAAAAAATCAAGTATCTTTTCTTTCAAGAAGGATGTGTTTTCAGTCTGCTCTTGAGAGGCTAAATTCTTGGCACCTTTTGAATTTTTCAAAGAACTGTATTTTTTCATCTTTGTTGTTTCCAGACCTCAGTGCGTATTTATTGAATGACTTGAGTGAATCAGTGTCTCTTCTTTTGAATCCCAGGGTTTTGGGGTGGCAGCAAAGTCCACACAAGACTGCAGGAAAGTAGACCCCATGGCGATTGTGGTATTTCATCAAGCAGACATTGGGGAATATGTGCGGCACGAAGAGACATTGACTTAAAGCACAATCGTCGCAAGGACTTGTGGCTGTGTGGAAGGGCCTAGTTTTGTTTCCTGTGTCTCTGTAGGCGCCACCGTCATGTTGAATTTTTGTCAACACTGTGACCTCTTCAGGGACTTCTTAGTTTAATATTCTCTCTATCACGGACAAATACAGGCTGGATTCTTACTATGCAGAAATGACTCAAAAATGAGGTTTCAGATCTTTGTGATTGTGACTGAATAGATTACTGTGTTTTATATTTGAATCAGAGGGCTTCTTGTTTTGAGTAACAGGTTCTAAATTGTTGGAACTGAGGACAAGAATAGCTTGTTATTGTTATCTATGATAACACTGTTTTCCAAACACTTAATAAGAACATAATGAGTTTTCTTAAATATTTATTAATATTATGAAAAACAGATATTGCCATATCAGAAGTAGGTCAGGTTTGGGATTTTACAAATGAAATATAGATAAAATAGTAAGAGCGGTTTATTCTGTGGCTTTTCTGTATGATAGGTGCTGTGTGGTGTGGAAGAAAAAACTCTTGATTCAAACACTGTTTCTCACATTTACTAGCCATATGGCCTTAGATGAGTCATTAAACTTCAATAAGCTTCATTTCCTTCTTCTTCCAAAATACCTTAGCCATCTTCCTAAGAATAGTTTTTAGAATTCAGAATCATGATTGTAAAGTACCTAACACAGCGCTTGGCAAATGATGGTGTTGAATACATGCTAAGACTTGTTTTTGTAACACTTATACTGAGTATTTCTGTTACTAAGAATAGGATATTATGAATATAATTTGATCATATTACCTTGGTTTTAACAAGCGGTTTTCTTGATCTTTTTCTTGAATGGTATGATCCCAGGCTGAATGTTATTTTTATCACCTTGATTTCTATTATAAACCTTTTGGTTTTTTTAATTAATTTTTTTTTTCTTGACGTATAGTTGATGTAAAGTATTGTGTTAGTTTCAGGTGTACAGCAGAGTGACTCATTTACATGTATATTCTTATAAGTCTTTAATTAACTCACTGGATTGGACAAAAAGCACTAATCAGAGACCCTGCAATAATAATTCAGCTCTTCCATCCTCCCCCATGCCTTCCAAAATTACTTTTAGAATTATTAAAGTACTTTTTAGCAAAAACGCGTATCATAGAAAAAATTTAATTTCCTGTATTGTAGTTTCTTTAGTGTATATACTGCTTATTTAAATTCCGAAGATGACATCTCTAAAAAGCATTTTTCAGTTATAGCAAAGCACTCCTGTTTCAGTATGCAACATATAAAACCCAGTTTATATATTTTTGTCCCATTTGTTTCAACTCTTCTCCCTTCCAAGGTTCTCTGTTAATTTCTAAATAGATATAGTAAAGGTTAAGAGGTTGCAATATGATGGGCAGTATTTTGATGGTAGCATTTAGTGCATACTTTAGAAATAATCAGTGTCAGAACTTACACATTTTATTATTTTATTGCTGTTTTGCCTGTGTAGATGAGAGTCATGGAGTACAACTTTCTAAAATTGATTTTTTTCCCAACAACTTTATAAAGATTTGACAAAGCTTGTGTCCCAGAAGGAAAGAGCTAGGGCACTGTAGTCATATGAGCTTAGCATCTTGGCTTTTGTGTTTCTGTAGTCATTGGGATATTGAAGAGACGCTTCAAGAAATACAGCTGCAGGATCCCAGAAAGAACAATGACAAGGCTCTGGGCTGTTGACCACCAATTCACATAGTTATAGTTTGATTGGAGAAGGAAAAAGTCAGCTGTTTTTCTCATGCGAGCAAAGTTGTAGTGTCGCCACATGTGAAAGATATTGTAATGCACCTTTCGTGTGCTCTCCTGCGGGACAGAAAATGAAATACAGAAAAGGTTCCTCTCTGCCTCTCATCTAGCCTCACCTGGGTACCCACGAGCACTAACCTCCTATAGTCACATGATTTTGTGATGTGTAAAAGTTGGCTGTTGAGGGTGCAGAACAAAAAAAATGGCCTATTGGAGTTGTTGGTAAATGGCTAGTTTTGTTGTATATGAAAAAATTACCTGGACTTCAGTTTTTAAAAAATTTTTACAATGAAAAATTTCAGTGCTGAAACCAGAAAGCTGTTGCAGTGTATGTCTAGATATAGACATATACTCAGCACATCATTGCCATTCTGGGCAGTGTCTTCTGTTCTTTGTATATGGTTAAAGATAAGAGCCTGCAAATTTTTACTGAAGGGCCGGACAGTAAATATTCTAGGCTTTGCAAGCCATACAGTCTCTGTTGCAGTTACTAAACTCTGCCACCTGAGGCACAAAATCAGCCACGGACATGTGTCCAGTGAGCTGTCCCCCAGTATCTGCGGGGAGATTGGTCCCAGGACCTGCAGAGGATGCTCTGGTCCCATTGCCGGCCCTCCATATCTTCAGATTCTCCCCCTGCAGATACAGAGGGGGACCAACTGTAATTGTCAAATGAGCATTGTTTTGTTCCAGTAAAACTTCACTTAGAAAAACTGGGCTTTTGTGCATCAAGGAGACTGTCAGGAAAGTGGAGAGAGATCCCAAACAGTGGGATAAAATACTGTATTGGCTGAAAAGTTTTTCTGGAAGATAGGCTAGAAAATCCTGAACAAGCTTTTTTGGCCAACTCAATATTTGCAAACCATATATCTGATAAAGGACTATTTAGAATATATAAAGGACTCTTAGAACTCCACCATTTAAAAAAAACTAGATTTTAAGATGGGCAAAGGATTTGAATAGACATTTCTCTGAAGTAGATATACAAAAGGCAAAAAAACATGGAAAAATGTTCAGTGTCATTAGTCATTGGAGACACAACTTAAAAACCACAAGATAACGCTTAGACCCACTAAGATTGCTATAACAAAGACAATAACACATTGGCAAGAATATAGAGAAATTGCAGCTCTCAACAAACGCTGCTGGTGGTATGTAAAATGTGTTACCCACAGTGGAAAAGAGCAGTACCTCATTGAAGTTAAAAAGTTATACTAGCAGAGTATCCACTTTTGTGGGTACAGAAATAGAAGTATGTTCACACAAAAATCTATATGCAGGTGCTCACAGCATCATTATTTATGATAGCCAAGAAGTGGAAATAACCCAGATGTCTACCAGCTGATAACAAAATAGGAAGGAAAAAAAAAAAGAAACAAAATAGGATGCATATTTACAATAGAATATTATTCATCCAGAAAAAGGAATGAAGTACTAACGCATGCTACAATGTGGCTGAACCTTGAAAACATGCTCAGTGAAAGAAGCCAAACACAAAAGGCCACATTGTATGAGTCCGCTCATGTGAAATGTACAGAACAGGCAAATCTATAGAAACAGAAAGTAGATTAGTGAGGGATTACCCAGGACTAGGGGGGCATGGGGAACAGAGAGTGAATAACAGGCATGCAGTTTATTTTTGGAGTGATGAAACTTCTGGAATTAGATGCTGGTAATGGTTGCAGGACATTGTAAACCACTAAACTGTACACTAAAAGTGGTGTGTTATATCTAAATTAAAAGGCTGTGAGCCAGATTTGGCCTGTGAGCCATTATTTGCTGATGCCTGGTAGAAAACAAGTGAGGAATTTCAAGAGCTCTAAGTCAAAATTAATTACAGGCTTCAGCCTGCTTGGTTTCTACTGAAACGAGCTTTCACTAGTATGATATTATTCCCACTAATTCTAATCTTTCCTCCAAATTTAAACTTAGTTTCCATGGATGTTTCTCTCCCACAGAACAATTACCTCAATGGCATCCAGAGTATCATTCAGTTGTTTTCTTTCATTCGCCTTGTGGTCCATCTCAGGCCCCTCATAGAAGACTCCAAAATTGAGGTATACTTGCACGGAACCAAAGCGGTTTTGCTGGTTTGCTAGACAAAGCTGATAAAAACCTGTGCAAATTCTGAGATCATTACCAAGTTCTTGATCTCCTACCCTCCCATCCTCTAAATTTCCCTGGAGATAACTGTTCTCCAAAGTTAAGTGTGCTGTTGCTGCGAAGTCGCTTCAGTCGTGTCCGACTCTGTGCGACCCCATAGACAGCAGCCCACCAGGCTCTGCCGTCCCTGGGATTCTCCAGGCAAGAACACGAGTGGTTTGCCATTTCCTTCTCCAATGCATGAAGGAGAAAAGTGAGAGTGAAGTCGCTGTCCCGACTCTTCGCGACCCCACGGACTGCAGCCTACCAGGCTCCTCCGTCCATGGCATTTTCCAGGCAAGAGTCCTGGAGTGGGTTGCCGTTGCCTTCTCCTATAGACAAAACTGCAAAGATTCAGATTTTGATGTGGAAGATCCTGATCTTACTTGAAATGTATTTTACTAAATACCATAATGTTGTTTTGCCGGATTTTAGTAACTTGAGCTCTGTATTGGATGGAAAACGTTTTCATCTTTTTCTTTTTCATCTCTTTCAACCTCTAATTCTACATCTTCTAAGCAATTTCTAACCACAGGCATATTAAGAGCATATTGTTTGCCTGCTTGTACACCATTAGAGCTGGGATATCATCTTGATCTTGAAAGTAGGAGAGATGGATGCTCTGTGAATGAAAGAAACTATCCAGGAGTGACTTCCTGCAAGGTGGTCTGTATGGGGGCTGCTGGTTTGGGGTATGTACTGATGCTTATTCTCAACTGGGGTCACCTCCTGCACGTGGCAGTGGGGGAGCAGTGGGAAGGAGCAGGGTTCGAAAGATGTGTCAGTGTATTTGATTGTCTAAGTGACTGGAAGTTGCTACTGGCATATCGGGGCCAAAGATGTTAAATAATAATGCTGATATCCTGTGCTATGAACTGAAGGATTGTCTTATGTACCTGTTGAGAAATACTGTCTTGTTTTGTGCACCTGGCTGATACAGAGAACAGTTCAAACTGACTAGTGCTGTCCGGAGTGAGGACAGGCTCAATCTGGCTGTGGGAATTTTCTGGTGACTGGAGAAGTGCTTTGCTGTAGAATGTGGATATTTGTCATGGCCGTGCATTTCCTTATATTCTG